TGGCTTTGGCTAGTAAGAATTCACGTTCCTGGCTGAAACCTCCTGGAGAAAATGAGAGAAAAGCTCCGTCCCTCTTCATGGTGCCAGGGCTGAAAAATGAAACAAATGAGAGAAAATCTCTCTGGGTACTTTAGATCACATTACATTTTGGGACAAATATTTTGTGTTTGGGAATATTTTATATTTGGGAAACGGGAGGCCGGGGTTCTTCTAGGCGCACGTGGCTTTGAGCACGGCAGTTTATTTCCAGGTGACGTGGTCCGTGCCTTGCGCAAGGGGCAGGCCTCTTACTTGTTGTTTAGAGACTGCCAACATGGCCTGGTTTAAATAGCAAAACAAAACATTTTCAGATCCTTAGAAAATACTCCGCAGATTCAGTGTCCTTTTTATTTTTAGCTCTTGGGAGATTTAAGGCTAACATCTGGCCGTTTGTTTGCTAGTAGAGCTGGACAGAATTAAGAGCTTTTCTGCTGCTTGAAATTGAGATTTTTTTTTAATGCTTAAAAAAGTATTAACAGGATAACTTCTGTTGCTTAAACGTTGCTTCCTCAGTTGGGCATGGTATGAAATACGGATTCTAGTACTAATACTTCCCAAGTTATTTGACAGCAAAGCTAGCCTGGGATTACCTTAAATTTCAGAACAGGGCAATTAAGAATATTCTAAGAGAGAAAATCAAGACTTTTCTTTATAAAACGCATGGTAAGAGACCACTTGCCTTAGGAAGAGCATCGAGACCTGCTGAATCTTAAACCAGTGCCTTAACCATTGGGCTGTGCTGCCTCTCAGTTGTTTGGAGCAGGGAACCTTTAATCACTTGTAAAGTGGGTTGCCAGGGTAGCGAATTAATTCTTCATCTTTTAGCTTATGTGAACTTCTTTTTGGTTTCCGAGGGCAAAAGGACAGTGGGTCAGCATAAGAAAAGGCACTCGGACAATGATGTGAAAGTACGTGTTCAGCTGAAGCCCTTCTGAAAGGCAGGTACGGAGCGGAAGAACGCTTCGTTGCCGTTCCTCGCCGTTTTGGGAGACGGAGCGTGTCAAAACAGCGCTGAGCAGGCACGAGCCGTTTGCCAGCATTTAATTTGCTGAAGATTAAAAAGTTGTCCCATTCTCACCATACCGTGTCAGTCTAGAAATACCTTTGAACTCTGGGGGATGTGAAATTTAGATCTAGCCTCAGATCTTGTGGCGCTTGGAATCCAGGGCTACAGCAGGGTCAGAACTGTGCAGCTGGTTTAAGGGGAGTCATATTAATAGCATACCTAGACACAACGGGCTGGCTCAACTTCAAGTGCCTTTGAACTTTGGGGTAACTAGATCTAGACCAGGACCCTGTGCTTCAGCTTTTTTCTTTACAAACTAGAAGCTAGTTAGTGAAGTCCAGTTGCTGCACCTTTACTTGGTCACATGGGCCAACCCTCGGGGCCTTATTCTCTTATTTGTGAGGTTTTTTCTTTTTTCCTCCTTTCTTTCTTTTTTTTTTTTTTTGCAAGCCTAGAGTTTCTAAAAGATTTGATACCTCCTTGCCTTAAACTCCTTTGAAAATTTCAGCTTGCTTTTCAGGCTGCCGGGTTGAGCTATGTCTGGTTTACAAATCTAACTGAGGGGAGATTCGGCTGCTAAAGCGTTACCCCCTTTCTGACCCACAGCTCTCCCCGGGATGGCATCTGCTGCTTTGAACCCCAGGTCTTTTCTCTGAATGCTCTCCTTACTCTCTCCTACCCATCCTATGTCCTTGTCAGGCTGAGGGCAGAAAGCTGAGAAGTCTGCTGGGCTGAACATCAGCTGATGCTTTCATTATTTATGATCATTTCTAAAAGCACCGTTGCAACTGTTGGGGGTCAAACTATAAGCAAAGCCTTTTCTTAATGATCACAAATGATAAACAAATGTAAGACATTCGGTGTCAAGAGCCTCACAAATCTATTCACTACCTGGAGCTCAAAGCAGCTCAACAGTTGCAAACCACTGCTTGCATAGAAGTGCTGTAAGTAAGTAAGTGTCCTGACGTGGGCACCAAAAATAAGCACATGCTGAGCTTTTCTGAGCACTTGGCCAGGTCACAGCTGTTGGCTGCTGAACGCTTTGGAAAAAGTATACCTCATTCAGATGCTCAGCACTTGAAAATCTGGGCCCAAGCAACCCTTGGTGTCGTTGCTTCTCTAATAACTAACCGCCACTTTACTCTGCAAGTAAAGCCAAGTTCGAGCTGCTGTTTCTGGAAGGAGGGAAGCGATTCCCTCACTGCTGGTCCTCTCTCATTATTAGAGGAGCAGCCTGAAGAGACTTTCCTCTCTCGGATGGAGGCAGACCTCAAGCTCTGGGATCACTGTGGCTCCCCTTCCCCCCGCTGAGCAGTCCCACATGCTGTTACCATGCCGTGCAGGAAAGCAAATATCCTTGATTACTCTGCTATCAAATACCCTTTGCTGACCTCCCTTGAAGAGAATCCCTTGTAAAATGCTTTTCTCCAGAGGTTTCAGTCACTCGGAGCCTTGCAGGGTTTTCTGAGCTCCGGTGATTTATTACTCCTTAGCAGTCTTGTGGTTTCTGGACAGCCCTGCTGGAAACACGCAGGGGTACAAGGGTAAAAGTATCAGTTAACCAGCAAACTGGTCCAAAAGCCACCCATGTGCAAGGGCAGGAGTGGGCTTTCAGGCTCTGAGACAGGGCTTGGAGAATGAACCCTGCAGGGAGCAGGGGCTGTGTTCAGCGGACAGGAGGGTTCGAACCGAACCCTCTAACAGCAGGGTAAGGGTGCTAGTAAGGCTAGACCCACTCCTTAATGGCATATGGGCAGGGGCATCAATTTTCAGTCTCCTTATTGAGAGCTGGTTGGGAGGGGGATCCTGGAAGCCTGTTCTCTTGCAGCCTATCTTCAATAGCTTCCGTGGAGCAATAATGCAGAAGGGTTAGATCTTAAGACTGCTGCCGGACACGGACCATGAATGCAGCTAGTCTTTCGTCCAGGAACGTCCCTTATGGTGGAGGTGACTTGAGGCTTCCTGCAGCAGGCTCCTGCTCTGGGGGTGATCCCCGAGAAGAGAAGGGGGACTTTGGCTCTTTCAGGCCACGTTGGGTGAAACGGAGTGAAGAGATTTGCTCCAGTGGTGGGCCTGCTTTGCCTTTCCCATCCCACAGTGGCAGAGACTTTAATTGCAGCGAGTACCTGCCAAGAGGATATAGATTAAGGAAGCAGGATCATTTAGTACCTTGTGTGTACCTGGCTGCTCTCAGTGAGGGCAGAATTAGAGGAAGAGTAAAGCAAATGGCAGCTCTCTGCCCTGATTTATGCTCTTTGAGCTGTCACTGAGGTTGTAAATCAAGGCAGAATTTGGCCCAGGTTACTTGCTGACGCTGTAGATCAGCACAGTAATCGGCTGAAAAAAAAAATCCACAGAGAGAAAATACAGATACATTTTACACAAGCCAGGGTTTGGCTAAGCTGTTCTGATCTCATCTCTCATGTAATTCCTGGGTGGTTTAAATGGAATAGTTTAATGGAAATATTTTGATTTGTGGTGTTACAAACGAGGAGAAAACAAGGCTGAAGTAGTACCCAGCATGCTGAGATGTAGAGCGTATTGGCAACAGTTTTCCAAGCTTGCTTTATAAATCTCTGGATTTTGCACGTAGCTGCAGTGGTTGTGGGAGCAGAGATAGTCACCAAGCTGCATGATTCTTTGATGTACCCTGTGCACTGTTGCTTCCCGGGGACCTAACTTATGATCCCCCCCCCCCCCCCCCCCATCCCTTCGCTCTGGGGAACAGGGTAAGGAATATAGGTCATCAGCAGGCCAAAGTGGCAACACCTTTCTTCTACTGGTGATGAGTTACTCACCAAAATAGACACAGTGAGGTCTGTAGACCATTATTTTCATTAGCGGTGATCTCACATTAAGAGTTTCCCAATCTGGCCTGCTGGTGTAATATGTTCCTTTCCACAGCACCATTTATCTGAAGATCTCAAAATACTTTATATAAATGCATGCACAGTAAGCTTTAATTCATGTTTTACCACCAGCGAAGTGTGTAAGGGTTGTTTCCATATTGCAAATGAGGTAAACTGAGGTACAGAGCAAGAAAGCAACTTGCCCAAGACTGTGCAAGTTGGTTGCCAGGTTGTGTAGAGGGCAATCTTGCAATGAGTGCGCGTTTCCCATACATGGTCTTATTTCATTGTAGAGGTTTAAATGGATATTTCATTTCCTAGGACTAAGACTGATCAGAAACCTGTCTGTAGCTGTGAATTTAGATGGTCTGATGTGAATCAGATCTTCCTCTAGTGTTTGGAAAAGTTTAGATTTGTCACTCCAGACTGGCCTTGACCTGAAAGGATTGGAGCAGAACTTCTGGTGTGTTTTTAGGGCTGGTGTCAAATGGTTGGTATAAGATGTAGCGTTACGAATCAGTGAAAAAAAAATCTACTTCCGATCTACTCATCGTCATCTACCTGTACGGTCACTGGAGTCAGTACAGACAGTAAAGGATAAAAGTGCCTCTACGAGATAGCTCCTGGAGGATGAGATGAAGAGTGCTTTGAACTTCATAGTCTGTTGCCTACAAAGGGGGACTAGGGAAGAATCTCAAGTGAACCCTGTCCTGGTGTCCGTAGAGAAGCAGAGTTGCACGAACGGGGACAGATTTCATCTTGTCTGCTCCAAGTTAATCTCTTGTGGTAATTAGATGGGTGACTGCAGTGGTGTGTGTTATAACAGCTCCTAAGGGCGGCTATGGAAACGCAGGTGGAAGCAGGCCTTCCTTTCCCTGTGCTAGGGAAATGCATACTAGGAGAGTCTCTGCCCAAGAAGATTAAACACACACACACAGTCTGGGAGAGAAGACAGGTCCAGAGACAGGAATTTACTTGCCTGTGGTCATGTAACAGGTGAATGGCAAAGCTGGGAAGGTATTCCCTGCTCCCGCTCCAGAGCTCCCATTACTTACCATGTTGCCACTGAACTGGCCTTTATCCACCTCTGTTTCCTTCCCTGCCAGGGTCCCCTTCTCTGAGGGCATATCCTCTCATCTCCGTCATCACCAGGCAGCCTTCTGTGGTCCCTCACCTCGTCCCAGCAGCCACCAGCTCCCGAGTGCTGCCAGCCCAGGTCTCCTCAGGGACTGCCAGCTCAGAGACACCAGCCAGTGAGACCCATGCCAGCAGCGAGTCAGAGGCAGAACAGCCCACGCCTCGGTTGAAAAAGCCACGCCGGAGTAGGACCATCTTCACGGAGCTTCAGCTGATGGGCTTAGAGAAGAAATTCCAGAAGCAGAAGTATCTTTCTACTCCGGACAGGTAGGGGTTTGCTGGGCTGGGGAGGGAGATAAAAGCTGTCCGTCACAGAGCTGATTCTCTGCTCTCCACCCCTCCTGGAGTCATTTTTGCCTTGCAGGATATACTTGACTTCCTCCAGGAAGCATTCTGTTCTCCTGCCATTACCTTAGCAGGCCCTTTGAATCCTCACTGTCAGCTTTGAGTGTTAGTTCCCTTTCTACAGTTTGGAAACACCACCTGATTGATATGCGGGATAGTCCCACCACGCCTTGTGCTCTTCTGAAGCGCCCTTTTGTCCCTTTCAAACCCGGGGACACCCAGGCCTCGGAGAAACTGGCTTTGGTTGGCTATAAATACTGCTCGCAAAGAAGTGGGAGAAAAGTTTCTTACGCTAGAAAAAGGAGTGAGAGCACAAGGGCTGCTCCAGCCTTGCTCAGCTGTTCCCTTGGGGTCACTTCACTTCTCTGCAGCTCGGTGTCATTTTGGGGGACTGCAAGGCCCTGTTACTGCTCTTTGCCAAAAGGTATTTGGTCTATCTGTGAAAGGATAGGCCAGTTCTCAGGACTACTTGATGCCAAATGGACAAAGCAAAAAAGGAGAGGTTTTGTTTTCAGGGATTTGAATCACGCTGCAATTTGGAGTTACAAGAAAAAAATTGGCCAATTCCTGCCAAGTTTGCAAACACAGAGCATTTAAGAACTTCACCAGACCTGGTACTGCACAGATGCCACTGGCGCAATATTTGTATTTGTTTTGAGGATCAACACTCTCTGCTCAAGCTCTCCATCACCAAAGCCAAGGTCCTTCACCAGTCTAGGCCCAATTTCACGGGCAAAACCAGATTCTTGGTCTCGTGCAATTTCAGAGCTGCTAATGCTCCTGTGCTTCCTCCTCACAGCTTCACAAAGCTGCATGGATGACACAGTTGATGAAGCACTCAGGGCTGTTAAATTAATTTAGAGGTATGACTGTTCCTTGGCTTTGTTCGTTTTTGAGGCTGATGAGCAATTCCTGTCTGGGCACCACTTCCCCTTTCGTTCTGTTTGTTTCCCCTGGTTCCTAGGCAATGCTGATTGTGCTAATGTGTGTGGCAAGAGATTGTAACTGATGGCAGGTAATCAAAGTGTGATAAGACACGGGCACTGAGGGAAGATTTAGTCAAGCAGTGTTTCTCTGTGTGAACTCATGACTGGAAATGTGGTGGTGAAGCAATGGGTTGTTATTTGTGTTCACTCCTGCAGCTTTTGGCCTGGACACAAGATTGTACTGCTTGGAGGGCAGCTGAAGCACCTGGCTTATTGGCACCAAAGGAGTGCAGTACAATGGGGTGATGTGTGGGATAGATTGTGCTTTGCACATAGCATCTTTAACTCAATGGGACTGTGTCACAGGCATTGCGCAATGGCATAGGCAGCAGGCAAACCAAGCCTGTAGAGTGAGTCCAAAGCAGGAAAACGCATGAATCCATGAGCGAGTGAGGAGCGAGGGCTGGTGTGGGGTACGAAGGTGTTTGTAAATATGAGTCTATCTGACTACCTGAGAAGCCCAGCTGAAACAAAAGTTTTATTATGAAAAACTTGGCCTTGACAAATTTATTTCCTCATCTAAGGGCTGAGAAATATTTGCCAGAAAGTTCACGCAATCCAGAACACCTTGGAATGTGACTCTGCGTTTGAGCTGTCCCACCTGCAGGTCTTGCGTGACGCAGTGGGGCACAGCACTTGCTCAGCTTTGCTGAGAACTTCCAACTCCAGCCATTGTGCAACTCCATTACAACACCATCAGATGCATAGTGCTGTCACCTGTGGGGTAGGATAAAGGATTACTCTGGGCTGAATTTGGTTCACATCCTGGCTTCTAAATAGAAATAATGAACGGTTACAGGTGAACTTCCACAGTTTGGGGATTTGTGGAGGATGAATCAGGTTTATGGGCTGTTTGCCACATATACCCTTAAGCTGAACGTGCAAATAGTTTTTAAGCGTTTCTGAATTGCGTGTGATAGCAGAATGCATTCAAAATTAATAGATTTACATGTACCATAATTTCCTGAGAAGTGAAAAAGTATCATAATCCTCATTCTCTAGATAGAGAAGATGAAGTATGAGACAAAGATCAACAGTTTGAAAGGCAGACTGATGCTGGGTGTCTTGGTTCTCACGTGTTTGCTTCAGACACCGTAGACCTGTTTTTCAGGGATGTTGTGTGCTGGTAGTTCTCTGCTTCAAATACAAATGCGGAGTGTCAGCAGAGTACCATGGTCTTGCGTTTCAAACAGGGCAGACAAACTTTTGAAACTTTTGGTCTTGCTCCTTTTCTCCAGTGGTCACAGAGGAGAAGCAAGGACCGATGGGGTAACCTATTTCCCACGTGAGTGCGACGAACATCAGAATATTCTTTCTTCTTCCATAAGAGCATTCGTCTTTGCATCCTAAATTCACAGTGGTTTACCACTTCTCTCTGAACTGAAAACAACAGATTGGAGAAGGAAATAACCATATTTTCTGGCAATTCTGCTGTTGTATGTGCTTATAGTTTCAAAGCTGACATCTGGGCTCTTTTTGTCTTCGGTCAACTTATTTCAGTGTTTGTCTTGTCTCCTAGGCTGGACTTAGCTCAATCGTTGGGGCTGACTCAGCTCCAGGTGAAGACGTGGTATCAGAACCGTAGGATGAAGTGGAAGAAAATGGTAAGTGGTTCATTACCACTTGTCTGTGGTCCTTAAAAACTATTTTCAAAGGGACAGATTTTGAAACTGAGTGTAGTGTAAATGACCTGTGTCCATTTACACAAGAATTTTGTTTTATTCTTGCTCACTTTGCTGAGAAACATACTTTTTTTCCCCTCTATGAGGGAAAAAAAAGCTTACGCTGCAGAATATGTGGTGGACTGGAGGAACCATAGGCAGTAGGAGGAATACAAAGCAAAGGAGCGAAAGAAGGTGAAACGGAACGGGGGAAGAACCAAAAAGTCTCCTGCTGCTGTGACCTTAATGCTTACAGAATTTGTTACATGTATAGACCAAAAGGATGATATTGCTCCACAGAAACCAATGCAGTTTGGAGAGCTAATGTCATTAATCCTTACTTTTCGTATTTCCTTTCGTCTCTTTCAGATAGTCAGAGCTTTATGGGCCTTTTCTAGTTAAAATGTTTCTGGAAAGGACAACTGTCCAGTAAGGCCTGTTGGGAACCACGTTGCTATGACATAGAAATATTTATGGATTCCTACCTGAGAGAAGAGATGCAGTTTTGGACTGCATCAGAACTGCATTTCTCAATATACGTCAGAGCTGCAGAAGTTAGCACCTCTTAAAACAAATCTGAGCGTGGCTTCGGGCAAGACTTCTGGATGGAAGTGTCCTGGTGCTGTAGTGATGGTGTGAAGGGAGAGGGAATTAGATGTAAAGACAGACTCTCTCTTCTACACAGATCAGATGGGTCTCACATCTTTTAATGCAGGTGTTATTGGGGGGGGAGAAGGTTAAGGCTTTTTCAGAAGCCAAAGAGGAGCTAGCAGAACAGGTAGAAAGAGGAAATCCCGGCTGAGGTTTATGACTGTTGTTACTTGGGCTTTGACTAGAACAACTCCTTAGGAAAGGAGCTGAATTTTGCATAAAAACCTTCTCTGTTTATAGTCTTGAGGACTGTATACCTGGACTGCTTTTGGGCCTGCTGCAGGAACTGACTTAGAGACCTCCAGAATTTGGAGTGTCCTTCCTGATGGGGTTTGTATTTCGTATGGTTTATATGAAATCATGGGTGAACTCACTCCATGGATGCAGGGCATTTCTATCAGGCTGAAATGGTGCCCAATTCATGCCTGGACTCTGAGGTCCAGGCTGGTCCTAATCCTGTTACCTAAAGGATGTCTCACAGCAGTGGAGTTCAGATTGATCTTGTCCACAAATCTTTTTGCTCCAGGTGCTGAAAGGTGGGCAGGAAGCTCCCACAAAGCCCAAAGGCCGTCCAAAGAAAAACTCCATTCCCACCTCGGAGGAAATTGAAGCAGAAGAGAAAATGAACAGCCAGGTTCAGAATCAGGAGCTGGAGGGGTCTCAAGCCCCTGAGGAGCCTACATCAACAGAGGAGAAGCCAGGAGTCTCTTTGGAGACAGAGAAGACTCCAGACCATATACCAGAGCCCTCCTCAGAGGAGACTACACCATTAAGTTAAAAGGGGAAGAAAAGGGAAAAAGAAGAAAGAAAAGTGAAAAAGAGAAAAGAGAAAAATGCAAACCAAATATATATATATGTGTGTGTGTGTGTATTTAAATATGTATGTAATTGTGTGTGTGTACATATATATATAAATACACACACACACACACACACATATATATATGTAGACCTTGTGTATGAGTCGAAAGCTTGGTCACGTTGTGCCTTTGGGAATCAGCCATGCTACGGTGGAACCAAGACATCCCGTGTGAGCGGTGAGGACCTGTTCCCCCCGGCGGTGTGTGTAAGCCTTTCCCATGGAGAGTGATGGAGGCCTTGACGTGTTTCCAGAGCAAACTGCGTCTAGAAACCTGAGACGGACCCTGGCAAATAAAGGAGAAGGCCAGGGCTCCTTCCATGCTGCAGGAGGCAACGTGTAGTGCTATGACTGTGTTGGAGGGTTCAGTGTGTTCGCTTGATTTTATCCTTGCCTTTTAAAGTAGTGCAAATGGACAGAGTACCTAGTCCGGTCTCAGATCCGGGACTGCTAAGAAATGAGGAGCTCGGACAGCACCTTTTCCTCATTTAACCAGCACTTATTTCTGTTAGGGATGGGCCCAACTTAAACATTTTTAGGAAAGAGCCCAGACCCATGGGTTGGCTTTGGCCCAGTGTAAAGATCAAAGCCTCCAAAGCGAGATTCGTACCCCGGGGTGGTGTTCAGATTTCGTATCTCTTGGTTGTTGGGTGCTGTGTCAGTGAATTTGCAGTGACCCAGGATAAAATTTCGAATGAGATGAGGGTTTGGATTTGAGTCTGCTCCAAAAGCTTTGGGATGCTTGGATCTGGGATTTTTGCTTTGGGCCCGTGTCTAATTTTTGTAGGTGGTTTTTTTTTTTTTTTTTTTTAAAGAGCATTTAAATGTTTTCAGGGTTTGGGAGAACGATGGATTTAAGAAGTTGCCGAAGAAAGTTCGCATTTGTTTTTAAGATGTGTGCCAAGAATAGATGTGCATCATGTTTCATAAAGTCTTGTTAAGGGTGTATTTTGCCCAAAGGCTGCAAAAGATGTATTAAGATAACCTTTATTTTTTAATTAAAAATGAAATATATAAATACAACAGTTGTTGTTTCTCTTTCAGAATGCTAGACAGGAGACTTTTCTGGGCTAGGTTTTTTTCCGTTCTATCAAACCCTGCAGAAAATGGGAGTTCATCAAACTTTCCGTAACGCTTCTGTGCTGGAAGCACTGTGTAAACTTCCTTCCTAGCACCTTGCGCAGGTAGGTGAGGAGTGTTAACGCTGCCGTGTCGGTGGGTGCAGATGAACGTGGCAGGATTAGAGCACTGGTGGTGCTGCTGTTTTCTGTCACCTCTCCTCTTGCTGGTATATCTGGACAGCTAATAAATGGGTCTGCGTGACCTTGTGAAGATGACTTTAGTATTCCTTTTTTGGGGGTAACGAGTAAAGCACTGAGGGTCAACTTATCCAAGGGGTGGTAGGTGTAGGGGAAAGGATTTCTTTTTTCCTCCCCATTTTCTTGCTCAACCATGTTTGGAAGACTTGAAGTCCACCTCCGCACAGCTCTTAACTGGAGCAGCACGTGCCTCCGTGTCAGGTAATGCTTCTGTGGCGAAACTCCAGCTGACTTCAGTGAAGCTGGGATGGTACATTGCCCCGCTCACCGCGTATCGCAAAGTCCTTAATACGCAGTAACCAACCGGCAAGGGCATATACAGCTACCTAAACAAATGCCACCAGATTTGGGCAAGCTGAATCTAAATTTCACCAGGTTTGAGGATGCCAGGCATTTTATGCCATTTAGCTCTTCTATGTGCCCTGGAAAGGTGAAGTGGGATAACAGATTTCCCTCTTGCCTGCTGTAGCTGAGAGCCTCCCTTTTCAACACGGTCTTTCCTCTACTGGTAAAATGCATTGAAATGGGGCCATCTCTGAACCGTTGTTCCTTCCACAGAGCCCTGACATACTCATGACAGGCACAGGGAGAGGCAAGGGGCAAAGGACAGGAATTTGGCACTTGTCCACTTGGCCAGAGTTACAATACAAAATGTTGTTGCAAATTCTTTATCTGTGGATGTCTCTTTTTTTTTCCTAAGGCTGCGCTTTAGTTCAACCATATCTGTTGGATTTGCAATGGGGCTTAATTTAAAAAAGGCCTATGGCCTGTTTATACAGGAATTAGATTAGGTGGTCTATGAAATCCATAATTGTCCTGTATTGTTCTTGGATAGTAGCACTGTTATCTCAAAACTTAAATGGAGTGGTACTCAGCGAGGCTGAAGGGAGCAATTTACTGGAAATAATTTATCTAATGAGTTTTCACGACTTTGTTTACAAAAACGTCTGCAAGAGGTTTATTTGGAATGCAGAGTAGTGCGTTGAATCAAATTTTGTGTGCAGATCATTCCAAAAACCATAAAAAAACTGACCTTCAGGAAAGGCATCAAAGATGTTTTAACTTCTCCAAGTTCAAAGTGGAAGTATTTTCCAGTGAATTTTACCAAAACTTTTTGGAAATATGTTTTAAACATAGCATTTTGGAAATTTTTGTAATTCCACTATATAGGCTTTCTTTCAGCCAAAATTTGTTCTACTGGCCTTTGACAGCCAGTAACTTTGTCTAATTTGAGGAACTCGGACAGTTCTACATTAAAAAAATTAAAAAAAAAAAAAAAAACCTTCCAGCCCCAAAAAGGAAATGGTGTGTGATGTTTCTGTGATATCCAGTGAAAAGGAGAAATATGAAAATACAAAGCTTCAGAAATTGAAGAAAAGTTTTAAATTGCAAGCGAAGTTAGCCACTTTGCAGCAAAGAATAAAAGAAGATTTTACAAAATGATGTTTCCTGTGTCCTAGATGAAAATAATTGTTTCTGACTCAACCTCACTTTACAATGGGAAAAGTTCCAATGATTTTTTTTTTAATCCCATTCTAATCATTTATGAGTCAATCTGGGTAAAAATGCAATATCCTGGGTGTCTGGGCTAGTTTTTAATGAGTCCATGAGACATTCAGGATAGTTTTGTTGCTCCTCCGGATGAGTAGCAATCTTTGTATCTTGTTCTTTCAGTGCAATTGTTAAAACGCAAAATTAGCGCTCTCTTAAATGTTCTCTGCTACTTGCTTATGCTGAATTACTTTCACTGACTTTCCTGATAACTTCCTGCATGTTCATAGAAAGCACATTCACAACACCTATGTCTGGATGGAAAGAGAACAGCAGAGGATAAATGATAAAAACTATTCATTTATTTTGTTGGCTTAATCTTTCTAAACTTATCTGCTCTGTGTTACATCTGCAGCTGGAGGAAAATATCTACAAATTCTGATAGACTTGGCCACACTGAGCCCAGCCGTTGTTGGTTAGGCAGCTGATCGAGTTCCTCATTATAAGACTTTTTTCCATTGCGCTTATTTTTTCTTCTCGTTGCTGAAACGCAGCGAGCTGAAGAACGCCTCTGCTTTGGCCTGAGCTGGGGAAGGCTCCAAGGTGGGAGTGGAGAGACCTGGTTTTTCTAGACTCTTAGAGTTGCGCTTTTAAGGGCAACGCTGGTCCCACAGCAATGCCCAGCTCTTGCGGCCACAAGCTGTATTTGCTCCACGCTGCTGAGACCCAAAGTGGATGGAAGGTGGCACTGCAGGTGTCCCTTAAGTCCCCCCTGTCAGAAGAGCTGTCCAAAGACGCCAGGTAACTGCAGACAGTATGAAGTATTGAGCTCTGTCATGTCACCTGGGACTTTTTCTGGAGCTTGTGGACGTCTTTGCGCCAAAACCTTGTGTGTCTGAGTTTTGTACCGATCTGTGGTTACTTCTGCACCACCTTTAGTCTTGAGCTGCTTGGGCTCTTCTCGTCAGTTTGGACATGTACGTTATTTCCCAGTGAGCAGACAAAACTGCAGCTCTGCAATCCCCCCCTGCAGGATTTCCCCTGGCCTCGTTTCCCACTTTAGAAATGGTATTTGATCAGTTCTCCCCAGTACTGAAATGGCACCTTTTGGCAAGGCCTCAGCATTGTTTTTTCAGGAGATAGAGGTTCAGCGGAAGTGCAAGTCAGGCATTTGTCTCAAGCCACATTGGTGCTTGGTTAATTCTTCTGTCCCCACTAGCAGTGCTTGGGTCATGCTCCGGAGTGCCAATATCTGCAAATCCATTGAGGCCAAGATAGTCTTGACCCTGGGGTATGAATTAGTCCTGGAAAGAGCCAGACCTTAATGATGGGAAGGCTTTCAGCATGTCCGCACAAACAGGCTTCACCTTAATCAGGAGCGTCTCAGCAAAGGGCTTTCCAAGTGCCTTTGTGCTGGTCCTGAAGACAATTATATTTATAGAAGGCTAGTGACAGTTCTGTCTGCCAGGCACCAAAATCCCCTGTCCTAGCACTGCTTGTCACATACCGGAGGAGCCTGGTAAGAGATGTGCCCTTGGGCTTGGGCCTCGCTGGTGTTCGGGGGTGTTCAACTTCCAGTTCTAACAGCAAGAAACAAGCCCTGATGTTGAAATCCCAACTCCCCTACAGGGATAGAAAGTGCTCATATCCGGAGTTCTGGCTGGCACCCACCTTTTATTGTACCCACTGTTTAGATAATTTTGCAAAGCACTGAGCTCATCCTGCAAAATGGTAAGTTCCCCCCAGGTCCCAGCAAGGATGAATGGGCTTTCGTCCTGTTTTCCCAAAAAAAAAAAAAAAATCATTTAACTCCAGGCAAATGAAAAGGAATCTGGTATCTGGTATTCGGGTGGGTTTCAGTTCCCCTTTCCCTTCGTCATCATCTTCTTCAGAAGCAAAATGGAAAAGGGCGGAAAGAAAGGAATGAGTGAAAAAAGAGGGGAGAAGGAAGAGATGGGGAAAAAAGCTAAAGCAGAAGAACTTAACTGTAGCAAACTACATGAAGAATAAGAACCAGTGGGGGGAAAAATTATTTTGCTGAACAGTCAACAATTTTTTTTTTAATTACGAAAGATAAAAAGAAAGCAAGCTCTGGTTGTGTAGAGAGGGAGATTTTTCTGGGGTTTAA